GTCACCGCTGACGACGAGTGAAGAGGACACTCGAAGGATGTTCTACAAACTACTGAGCAGCGGTAACAATGGTTCAAAGACAATGATTGTAATGCAGAAAGCAGCAGGATAGCTACAAGAGGTATCTGAGTTATCTTGGGGCTATATAAGCAACTGCTGTATGAAAGAATATGTGTGAAATGAAAGAACGTCAAAATCTATTTTACTGAGGCAAAGAAACAATATGAGGATGATGAAGAGCTGTCTTCTACGCCTAAGAGGACCTCAGTTCGTCTGTCAGTAAGCATAGTGACATAAAAAAGGTGATTCCAGTGGACCTCCATCCTTTTCTAGCTGTGACGTCGTTTATTTTAGAACTCAGAGCTCTTTTCATAAGGTAAAGATGCATGCATGTTGCTCCTGATAGTGACTTTGAACTCTGTCCTCTGTAAAGAGCTCTACCATAAAAGTTACCCATTAATATATAATCACCGTAAAAGGAAAGAACGTGCTATTCAGATCGTGTGAAAGAGGGTGTATGCCTTCACGTAACTGACCGTTGAATAAATAGCTCACATACAGAATAATTCCTTTTTCTACGCAGCTTATTTATGATTTTTTCCCCGTTGTCGTTTACAAGTGAACAATCTTTCTGACGCTTTGAACAAAATCGTGATTTTCCTGTACTTTACGTGTCTCCTATAACGCGATTTCATATAATGCAATATTTTTCAGGATTTTCAAGTGATCGAACTGTCTCGTTATACAAGAATTACCTGTAAGTGACATTTGCTGGATGCTGAGGGAAAAGACTCATTCACGCTCTTGTGCACATCTTAAGCTTTGCTGTCAAATCTGCAGTAGTTGGAGTACAGGAACTACGTAAATGTGAAAATGAATTTCCGCCCAGAGTAAGAAACTAATCACTGCGTATTCAACGAACGACCATGTCATCCTCCTATGGATAGGCAGGTAGACGCTCATGAGCTACTAAACATCAGCCAACGTTTCCAAGAAGTGTGAAAGCAGACGACCATAAGCAGATATTGAGCAGAACAGGAGAGAAGATTCAAAACGAAAGACTTGCGCGTTCAACATGAAATACGCATGCTTTCGCTCAGTTAACTTACCGCTATATTAGATTGCCTTATTCGTTTACCCACCCAGGCGATTAACTTAACCAGCCCGGCTGTCTCTTCGATGGCTGTGTTCTCATCTTTTGACTTGTTTCTCACGGTCTGCCTCATGACTTCCAGATTGAAAAACTCGAAAGCCACTGCAATTGTTTTTTTCCTTTATATCTATAGCTGCTCGGCTTATTAATGCCTTAGTGAACTATATTGTTGCATTCATTTATAAGCACGCCCATTTTATAACCGCCGCGAATCTGCTGACTTAGCAAGAAGCGCATTTGTCCCTCATCTGCTAATCTGATTCGGAGCACACTTTAACCACGCTCATAACCATGTTCATGTTGATGGAAATTGTTATTTCCATGAACCGATATATTCATGACATCGTGCCATTGCGGGATATTCTGACATAGGGGTTAGTGTGTTTTCTGTGTCGTTCTATGTCGCTTCTGTGGGAGCATTTGCAGGGAGTAAAATGGTCAACAAATCAGCCTGCGGACTTTCGCCTTGCCGCCACGCTAAACTGATTACGCAAACTGCAGCGACCGTTTTTCTTACTATAACGTCCCATTGGACATCCCAAATAATTTACATTCCATGCGGAGCTGAAGCAACCGTTCAATTACGTATTGTCGCGTTGGTTTTCTGTCTTGCTGTAAATATTACATTTCCGGCTTCCATGCTGTGCTTGGATAAGACAATTTCTCATCCTTCATCGCAATAAAAAAATAATACCTTCCTGAAAATAGGCATGAAAATCATAGGTCAAACTGCAACCATTATCAGTGCTCCATGACGCAGGTAGACAATTCTACTGACTGAATCTGCTCTTCATGAGCGACAAAGTGCCTTTACATTCAGCTCTGTTATGAACGGTGCACGTCATAAGCTGAAAGTAATCTTTGCTCCGAAAGACAAAAAATCCTCTTCCCAAGTCAACGTATTGAGCTTGCCGTGATGAGTGATAATACCAATGCAATATAATAACTGAAGCTCCGTGACCACATCAGCTTGTGTAGCTTAGTAAGGTATCGTCTCAAGTTGCTCTAAGAACTGATAAGTAATATTCATGAAATGCTGCCTTTGATCATGCGCATCTTTATTGAAAGAGTCTCTTCTGCTTTATTGTCACTTTTCATTCGACGAGGGTGCGCACCCTTACAAAATTTGAAACGCTACTCTTTTAGCGCGACAAAGATTGTATCCTTTTACCTCCTGCTGCAACACCGTTGCGATTTCCGCCAAAGTTGCCTCCCGGTGCTCTACGCTATAGCACCGCATTGTCCGCGCTAATCCCAGCTGAATAGAAGCTCTGCGTTTACGCTTGGGTAATGACAGAACAGAATGGCTGGGATTAGCGCCGCCAATGAGGTATCGTGGTGTAGAGCTGAGGGAAGTAACGTTCCCATCGAATGCTGACGTTTCTATGATGGGCTTCACTGCCGCAACCTGACTGCGGCTGGTCATTGAAGCTGAAATCAACTCTTCAGTCTTGACGGCATCTCGAATCCTATATTCTTACAGCCACGACTCCTTCACTGCACTGCCGCACAAAGTTCTTTTGGTTTCTACGGGCGCCCTTTCTTGTTGGCGAAGAAGAACGCGACGGTAAAAACAGGCGCCTGCCAGGTTACGCGTCAATGGGTGTATGTCGCAATCCTGAATGACAAAAGTTTGGGTGATGAAATCCTGAGTGGCGAAATCCTGAATCGTCAACATCCTGAACAGATGAATTCCCGAAAGGTTCATATCCTGAATGTCAAAATCACGAACAATCAATATCTTGAAAATGATATTACTTAATTAAGAGACAGGGAGAAAGATAGTAGTAGTTTTTCTTTCTGATCAAACAGAACTGCATGGACAAACGATGCCTTGTAATTTTTACAGCTCAGGATTTCAGCCTTCAGAATTTTGACCTTTCGGTGTTTTCACAGTTCAGGAATTCTGGCCCGGGATTTTGACTGCCGCTGCACTTCAATATGCGATCCAAATAGTGAACGAAATGAAGTTGCAGAACGTTTATTCTCAGATGTGACACAGATTATGAACGGGTTACTCGCACACAGCGAAAAATAAAAAAATATTCATTCACAATGTAAAAATTAAATAATCAAACACGACTGGATGGCCGAGCGGTCCAAGGCGCTGTGTTTAGGCCGCAGTCTACTCCGGTGGGCATGGGTTCGAATCCCACTCCAGTCAAGCGCAGGACACTAATCCCTAATGTCAATTGAGTTTTATGCTTTCCAACTTGGTTCTTTATCAGTAACTCAGACGTCATACGTCTGCTTAACTTTGCTGAACTGCATTTCTTTATACTTTCAACAAGCACAAGCAGGGCTTTTCGGTGCACGCTTTCGATTTCAAGAAATTTTAACGCAGGAACGACTGTCGTCGGTCAGCTTGACTCTGTGACATAGATGACTAGACCTTCACCGGCAATGGATCAAGCGGTGATGCCTGGAAGACTATGATAGTCTCTGTGATCTATCTGAAAGGCTTCGCTGCGGATTTGCGACGTCAAATGGTAAAATTGGTCTTTGAACTTCAGTTAATCAGAAAACTGTGGAAACGCTTCGCAAATATTAAGTGGATATTTGACTACCGAATTGTTTTACTTGAGAACTTTCTGCATTAAATCGCCTTTTAGACAGCGTGCTATCAGCTTGAGCAGAAAGTTTTGCCTGTTTGGTACCCTTATTTCAGGCGGTTCCTTGGCCTAATTACTATGGAACTATTTGAGTATGCTGCGTACTATTTTGCAGCTATAATCGTGCTTTTCCATTTCCCGTTTTCTCTTTTCAGAGATATTTTCCTGCGCATAGCTATTGCCTGTTTTAAAGTATGAATGGACAGGCTCAACTTTCTCACGGTTACGCTTCATGAGTGCAAACTGAGCCACAGCGCAGTCGAAGCGACCTGAATCATCCAAGCAGCTTGGGGCCAGACTGCTTTACTGAACGAACAATGAACAGTTGGTTTAAGAAGTCCACAAACCATGAGTACCTTTAAAGCCGGTAATTTCGAGTGTAAATAGCGTTACTTCTAAGCTTTGTTTGTATCTTAAAAACATAATAGAACCTGTAACAGGTAAACGCGATTCTAATGTTAAAAGCCGTAAAGAATTTTGTAGGCGCTAATGTCCTAAAAGCCACAGCGCCGTGACCTCATGGTAAATAATGACGTTAGGGTCCTGTTCACGAGTGTCAGTATAAAGTATGCAATCAACTTGCTACAAGACCTTATAAACGCGGATGATACCATATTTCTTAGAACTAAATTACACCCCACCCACATAGTAAAATTAGTATCCTTTTGCATGCACGGAGGCAACTACTTCAGGTTCCAGGACAGTTTCTTCTCACAAAAAGATGGAGCTGCAACGGGAAGCCCACGATCTCCTATTCTTGCTGAGATCTCCATGGAACATCTCGAAGAAAAGGCCTTCAGCACTTTGCATGCTTCTTACACTCGTATCTTTTTCAAAAGATATGTAAATGATATCTTTGCCATCGTTGAAACAGGAAGAGAAGAAACTCTCCTGGAACATCTGAATAGCCTTTTCCCTAATCAAATAACATTAACCATTAAAAAAGAAAATAACCAAAGATTACCTTTTCTAGACGTTTGGTTATAAAGGAGAGGAATAAATTAAAAACAACCGTTTATAGAAAACCTACCCACTCGGACCTACACCTACATTTTTCTTCCCATCACCCAGTTTCAGTTAAAAGGGGTATAGTAAAGGGAATGGTTGAACGGACTCCAGCAGTATGTGATCCCACATATTTAAACGCTGAATTAAGCCACACTTTAATTATATTACGCAGTAAACGGGTGCTCCAGTAAATTTGTTACTTCCATTATTGGACAATGTAAATCAAATAAATCGTTACCACCGGTCCCATCCAATAATAAACAAAACCCGGTTTTGGTGCTCCCCTACTACAGTGGGTTAAGCAAAAAGATTAGGAGGTTGGAGTATTCCCTAAATTTCAAGGTCCAGTTTAAAAGTTCATCTAATCTTCGTTCGATTATGAGAAGTGACAAGATCAAAGTTCCTTTTGACAGCAGACCACGCTTTGCTTACGAAATAAAATGTGGTTGCATGGTTGCAACGCCTCCTACATAGGAGAAACGGGCAACACTTTATTTGACAGATTCAACCAACACACGCTTAATGTGGTGACGTACAGGAACGCCGAACGTGGACTCAATGGGGAACCTACGACCGGCCCCGGGCGTCCACCCACAGTAGACCCTCGAAAGGCCATAGCGAAAGGATCAAAGCCTCCGTAGTCGTGGAGCATGCCTCAGTGCTCACTCGACCCACGACCGAAGATAATCTGTCGTGAGAGCCTTTTTTGCCTAAGGCGCATAAAGGAGGCACTCTATATCAAAAGCGATTCTACCATCAGTCACGACAATGGTGTGGCGGTTAGGGAGGTCTGGGGCATTAACAAATTCCAATGCCGCACCTTACTGAGCGAATCGCACCCATTGTTTCCACGTGCCTATTTAAACGCCTTCCTTACACTGCTGATGGCAGAACAAGAGCAGTTCTGAAACGTACGGTTAGTGATTGTTCTGTATTACTCTCTAACATTCCGCTCAGCCATTCGCTGGTAGGACATTTTGGTGTTTGCTTACAGACACATAAAACAGGCCAAAGCCGTGAACTGAAGATCAATTATGAAAATACTGAAGCGCTTTACAAGACACCCCGTCTTCCAGAACGTTCAAGGAAACTAATAAAGGCAAACGGGCTTCATGGTTTGCGCATTCAGCATTAGTCAAACCAAGACGAACATATCAGCGCGCGTTTATTTACTTTTTCAACTGAAATACACTAGTGCACGTCATTCTTTCAAGGAAACTGATGAATTCAGCGGCTACTTTCTGAATCGCACGCGCCATCCTGATTCGTTCACCGATGACTCCTAAAAACAGTTCATATGAGCGTAGCGAAGATGAGGAACCCTGACGTAATTCTATTCGCAATGATAATTGCCTGAATAATCTGTTGAGTAAGTTCAGTTGCTGATGCTGAACACGTTGACTGGAACCATTTTTACTAGCATCATGAATAAGTACATCTTTTATCACACCAGTGCACACATTTGCATCACACATCTTACCTGTTCCAACTATCTTGTACAGTCATTCATGCAAGTCACGTATGCTGAAAGTTTTTCACTACAGTCTTCATTACCCGTTTTCTTTGTTATACATTTTGTTGTGTCACTCATTTGTTGATTGCAAACCTTACTCAAACATTCTGATGTTTTCCTCTGCAATAAAAACATTAACTTGAGGAGTGTGACTGTGGTGCACTTTCATATGATATTGGGTAAGAAAACAAAAGAATCTCATCTCCAAGCATAATTAGCTCAAGGCGTTCACTCGTAGGCTGCTTATGTTTCTACAGAACATTAAGCAATTTTGCATACTACAAACTAACCACTTTGCGTATTCAACGAATGACCGTTTCATCCTTCTATGGACACGCAGGTAGACGTTCATGAGCTACTAAATACCAGCCGACGTTTCCAAGTAGTGTGAAAGCAGATGAGCATAAGCAGATATTGCGCAGAACGGGAGAGAAGAATCACAACGCAAGACATGCACTTTCAATGTGAAATACTCATGCGTTCGAACAGATAACTTACGCCTGCTGTGATTTCAACCGGCTCTTGGAACAAAATAGCGAACAACATCAGTAGAGCAAGCGACTTCATCATCATTACTGTTGATGGCGATCATGACCTATCTATCCGCTTTTATAGAAAAATACTGAGGCAGCTGTTATGGATGGAATCGCTTAACGCCAAGCTAAACAAACTGAAATGGACACATTGCTTATGACTTATTTGTGCACCCTGTATGAAATGCATACACTGTTAGCTTGCTCTAAATCGTTTGTTAACAAATGGTGCAAGTCAACCCCGTTCAGATTTGCGATAATGTTAGGAACGGTTATTTTAGCGAAAGTGACACTAAGCTTTAAGCTATAACTGCGCAGAACACCTGGGGGTAAACTGGCAGAACCAGTACAACTCTTTTATCAGTACCTTGGTACAAATGTAAACTCTATTCTCAGCGTAGTAAACGCTTTACTTCACCTATTCGTCAACGTTCTCTTGAGCACCGTTGGTCAATGTTTGAACATTCATTAGTCGTGTGAAAAGCCACTCGAATATGACATGATCCCAGTCATACTGTAAAATAATGCTGTTGCTGATCAACCTTTGTTCAGTCTGTTGAACTAAACGGTTGCTCATACTGTAATTTTCCTTGCGTTCACATTTCAGGGGCCAAGTCAGTCAAATTGCAGTGCAGCGTGATTTTTCGTCCCGCAGTGACAGCTAAGTCGATGTCGTTTACATAAGTGCTGTTTGCTTGATGCCGCCGGAAAAGATTCACGTTCTTGTGCGCATCTTAATCTTTGCTGTCAAACGTGCTGTAGTTGGAGCACAGGAAGTATGTACGCGTGAAAATTAATTGCCGCCCAGAGTATGAATGCGCATAGAAAGATAGGCTGTGAAAGCAGCATTTCGAGGCTATGTGTGGGCTTCTCTCTGCCTGAGCACCACAGAAAATAATATGAGCATAACGTCATGCCCCGCAAAGCTGTGTGTGCCATCATGAAGGCGGCGCTTTAAGTTTTTCTTTCTTAGCCCTTTACTGATAGAAGTGATGACGGAGTGCCTATATTTTGCCAGCCGGCTTAACTCCTGCGAAGAATAGTTTTGAGCGCTTGTGGAGGACCACCGGCTGCTCCTTCGTTTGAAACATACACTCTGCAAACAAATCTAGGATGACATTTTGTGGATAGATGAAGACATGGTATCTCCGCAATGTGATATAATTGTGTTGCGCAAATGTTATGAAATATAATGCTTAATTTAGTCGTGTATGACGTTGTTTCAGAGTTTAATTAAAGAAAAGCATGTCAGTAGGCATATTTAGTGTGATGCAAATGTATTTTGACTTTTAATTGTCTTGAATGCTGGAAATCAGCTTCTCTGACTGACATTGCATGAGTGAAAATTGTACGCATTCAAATTTACCTTCAGCTTATAGGCTGCCGCAGGTGAACTACAGTATGGGGGTTTCTGAGTCATCAGTTGCTCTAGTAGACTAAAACTGCCTGTGGAAGAATCGGCATGCAATTTTGCTGTTCTATGTTCCATGCAGCATGC